AATAGCCCTGGAAGGCAAGAAAGGGAGGCAGTGAGCTGAGGTACTTGCCCAATGACAAATACTGAGTCAGTGGAGGAGTGGGAGGAAAGCTCAAGGGCCGTGGATGTTTAGATTTGAGATGGCATCCTTCTTGTCATAACAGTGTTTCACTCATCTAAAAAATAGCACCTGTATCTTAATTACAATTACAGCCAACTACTCCAAGTTAATAGATTAAACAGCGAGAGAAAATTTGATCCTAATTAACAGCCCCCCCAAAAAAAAAATCACATGCTTTGCACACCTGTAAGATGTTAACCAAACCAATTAAAAAGTATAACCATGTGGTATAAGCATAATTAGCAAAACCCCCTTTTAAAGACAAGGCACACAGCAGAGGCTGCCCCACACACAGGGATGCTTGAGCACTGCTGCCAGGACCCTGGTCCCCACTGCAGGCAGTGAGGGGCTTGGAGCTGCAGTAAAAGCTGCTACAGGCAGCCTGCCACCATCACAACATCTGCAGGACAAGGTTCCCACCCTCCTTGTCTCGATATGCTTTTATTGCACAAAAAATTACACACAAAACTATAAGGTGGCAAGGAGAGGCGTTGGTTGAAATAAAGAATCTGAAAATGTCACCAGCACTGTTACAGTAGCAGAGCAGACACATCAAGAAGAAGAAATAAAAAGGCGAGGATTTATTCACGTGAACTGTCGTTACAGGAAGTAATGGGCAATTAGAAACAGTGTTTCATAAACTCACATCATCAGCAGAAATATTTGTATAAAATACCTTGCTAGGTGTGAGGGGTTAGTAGAGGCATGTTTAAAGATTTAATGTAATCCTTAATATGAGTCCAGAGGTCCATTAATCAGTGGGAAGGCCTTCAATAAGAATACAATATTATTAAAATATTCAGTAGTTATAGACTGAAGAGGAAAAGACCAACTGAAGCTAATTAACCCCAGGACAAAAAAATCTGTACAGCACTCAGAGTACCTGAAAAGGAGGGGGGGGGGAAGTGTAAGGGAAAAGCAAAGATGCAGTAAGATGCAATTAATGACAAATACTGTTAGGAAAACAAACTGAAGCAGCATTAAAAAGAATATGACCCATAGACAAGGGAATATTCAAAGGGGGAAATGGAGTGCATATGTGGAGCTTTTACCATTGTGGAAGGATTATTGAAGGGGAGAAACCTCAATTTGAAAGATACTTGTATGAGCAGGAAAAAAACCACAAATTGCTAATATTGTGGATTAAGGCATCTGTTGATGCAAGTTAAAACATGTTTTCTGACAAGCAATTCAGATGACTATAACACCAGGCTGCTTTGCTTTTCTGACCAACAATTATTTAATCAGAAACCTGTATTAAAAAAGAAGTATCTGCATAGGACAGAGTATCTGACTATGAAAATGTGCCATGCAGTAGCCAACCAGTAACTAATGCATCTTTAGCTCTGGGGCTTTGCTTTTGTATCCTTGTTTTCCCAGGGAATCTTTTTCAGAGTTTTTACAGAGTAGGTTGGTTCTGTTGGTCTGGCCATGCTATAACGATATCTAGCCTCTGGAAGCCTTCCAAGGAAGTTGGTGAACAGGGGATTGCTGTGCTTTGCTGTTTTATAGCCTAAATAGCTCTTAATAATTGAACATTACCGTGATGGGAAAAGTACCAACAGAACTTTTACTATAAATCTTTGCCTTCCTCCAGGACTTAGGGTCAAATAAAGAAAGCTATGCACAATTTGCATACTGTTTTTAGCATCAGCACTTATGAAAAACGTGGCACAAACATAGATTCTTCTTGAGCAGCTAATTTTTCTGTCCTTCACTAACCTTTTCTCTCCCAGTAATGGACTATTTTTTATGTCAAGCACTTTATAGTAGGCTGAGTCTAAAGGACCCACGTCTCCATTGTGCTTTCAGCCAAGCAAGAGTATTTTCTTCCATGCTATGACCATGTTTTTCCTCCCTCATTTACTCAGGGATTAGAGGGGAGCTCAGCAGGTGCTCCTCCACCAGCCCCAGATTGGTAGGATCTGCCCTGAAAATGGAGGTTCCATTTGCATCCACATCTTCCTCCTGTCCCTTGGAAATCCCAGCACACAACACCAGGGTGAAGAATGCAATGGGTCAGCAGTAGGCCTTTGCATACATCATGCACATGGCTACAACAAAAACCAAGCCCCTTGCCAATACCCTGCCCAGCATCCCTGCACCAGCCTCAGCCAGACAACTCCCAGCCCCCCAGCTTGCATCTCCTCCCTAGGGAGAGGGCTGGCAGGTGCAGGACTGCCCTGGGGACAGACTGCTGCCCCTGCAGAGCCCTCTGACTGTGAGGGCCTGGCACAGCTCTGCAACTTGCACCGGGGCAGCTGCATCTGCAATCCTCCAGGCCAAACTGCTTATTCTGAGTTTGTACAAAATATTCATGGAAAATTGCCACTGATGGACTTCAATGAGTTTCATTGAATGTTATTGACTTGATTGCACCCAAAGAAGCCCCAGTTACAAACTGCTTCCCTAGAGGGCATGAAGAGGTTTTTGGAGGTGTGTGCCCCACACGCCAGGCTGCCACAGCTCCTGGTAGAGCATGTCACAATTTCCTGCACAATGCATGCTACAGACAAAGCCCGCATTAAACAACCCCCAGGAAATTAGCGTTAATTAGTAGGGTGCTGCAATCCTGTCAGTGACTGCCATTTATCCTGCTAATGTCAGCTTTGCACTACAGGAGTTCTTAGAATTTCTGACATTAAAACTATTACTGGCCACAAATAAAATGTAATTGATATTCTTTCAGAAATGGAAAAAGTACGGTAGGATACTCTGCAGCATTATTAGGTAGTGCTAAATCAGAGGATGAAAAGAATGCTCTATTTAGCAACTGAGTTTATTTTAATAGATGCAATCAGAGTCCCATGACTTACAATTTTGCCTCTAAGGGAAATGTTCTCACTGGAGAAAATATGAAAAAACAAGACAAAAGTGCACATTATAGGTAGAGCCATCACTCACTCCAGGGCTGTCTGCTATTTGCTAGTTCTGGCAAGATTTCTGTTTTCCTTCTCAAATGACCATTTACTCTACAACCTCGTTTTTTCCAAATACCCTGAGCTACTGTTGGAATCAATACACTTCGTGCAAAACAAACCAACACCCAGAAAATCCTGTTTGTGCAACATTTAATGTGAGATTTTAAACTCTTCAAATTTAGCTACAGAGCTCCTGTTCTTCATCATCTCCCTTGTATCACTGGAGGCGACAAACAATGACATGCCCGGCCTGCATGGCAGGAGCTGGGGACTGGGACCTGCCAGTGATGGGGGCTGCCCTGTGGGGCATGTACAGTGCTGGCCCAGATGACCCAAGAGGTGCCTACTGTGTTCACAACCTGCTCAGGCATCGAGTACTACCCATGGGCCTTGCTGCAAAAGCATCCTTAGGAGCCCCGAGGTGAGCCAGCAGCTACTCACGCGTGCTGCTGCAGTCAAGACAAACTCCCTGAGCTTGAAGCTGACACATAAATCACTACTAGCGGCAGGAGACCTGTTGAGACTCACCCACACACCTCTGCTACCTGCACAGGCAACCCCACTTTTCTGTCTACATTAAAAGCACTTCTGCCTGCCAGAGCTGCCATTCTTCCGTATCGCACTTCTGCCTGCCAGAGCTGCCATTCCAGGTACAATCACAGCTTTCTTCCGTATCAGCATCAGGCACTAACAGGGCCAGGCAGAGAAAAGAGATGATTCAAACAAAATGCTGCCTCTTGGATGCTGCTAGAGATGAAGCGAGGCTCTTCGATAGTGCTGCTCATGCCTTCCTGCTGGTTGGCACCACAGCCTTTGCTTCCAGCTGTACAATCGTATATCTACATACCATTTACTGAAAACATTCTTTTCCATTCAGCTGATCTGGATACTTGTAAGTGGGAGGGAGGCATCTGGATGGTGAGGTCTTCAGGAGGACGATCACTGCTGTTGGACTGAGAACTGCAGTAAGAAGTGTTTGTTCTCCAGTGGCATAAGGGGCATTTGTCCTCCAAACTCTGGCACAAGGACCTGAACCATCAGCATTGTACCAGCAGTATCCTGACCTAGGTAAAACATGCATTGCAACCCAGCCTGGCTGCTCAAATGATGAAAACCTCTTCATTTACTGCTTCAAAAGCTGGCAGCCCTAACAACTCAGAAACACAAACCAACCTGTTATTCTTCTGAAGCCAAGCGCTGTTCACCACAATTGGAAGACCTTTGCCAGCTGACCCCAGGTGAGGACTGGTTCCTGCGTGGATCAGCAGACAACAAAAAGCAGGCTGAGGTGGATCTGTAGCAACAGTGTTTCCTCAGGTACCAAGCTGGGGTGAAATACCTCATCTTCACGTTGCCTTAAAAGCCAGGTAAAACTGATCCCTCAAGTAATAAACTGTATTTATTGCACCCAAGCGGAAGCCTTAAGAGTTCAGAGCAGTGAATGTACTGATGCTGGCTACAAACCTTTGTTTTGGCCACATTTTTTACGTAACAGTCCATCACCTGTAGTATAGAGGAAGTGTGTGCAATATACAGGAGATGTACACTTTAATGATGTCATGGGCAGTGGGTCAGTAGTTGGTCTGACTGATACACACTGGAGAGAAAACCGCTTTTGGTAATGCTTTTCCTGGTTCTCGATGGGGAAGAAGAAATTAAAGGAGGTCCAGGGCTCACATGTGCTTGAGAAGAGCCTGCACAGCCCGTTTCCCCACACCCATGGTCTCCTCCATCCCAGGGAGGTAGATTTTCCTTAGCTTTGTTGGGCATGTGCTGCTGGCTGCTGTGTTTTCCTCCCATTCCCCTGACCTGTGGACAGCCTGTCAAGCAATGCCCTGTCACAGTGGAAAGATGAGGAGCTGGATCAGACAAAAGAAGTGGAGAAGAGAAGAAGCTGAAAGCCAGGGGCGATTAACAGCTGGCCTGGCGAGGCCTCGTGTCTGTAGGGTACAAGAACACTGCCAAATACACGTTATCCAAGAGTTTTAACACAATTTATTTTATGCTTAAATAATCAACTAGATCATCCAGTGTTTGTTGTTTTCATACATATGTAATTAGAGCTATTATCAATGAATGCTGTTTCCATATGAATATAATCAACAAATTAAAGTATTTCACCAAAACCCAAATAAAAATGCCCTTTAAAACACAGCAGCCTTAACAACCTAATATTACACTGCTAGGATGATTACAGATGATTGGCTTACTGAAAGATTCTACATCTTATAGCCAGTACACAATACAGTAATAATTTTACAGCGTGCTGCCAGTCTATTAGCTAATAATTTCTCTTCAGTTCATTTAAAAATATCCCAAACTTGTGCTCCTTAGAGCACCAACCCACTTCTAAAGCTGCAAGCATTACCCCCATTATAAAGCGAGAACAGATAGCACCCCCCTCCCCATAATGCAACTACTGTATATGTTATGGGTTTTAGGTCATTTCATTGAAAAATTGGCAACAGCAACAAATATTAGATGAAGGGCTTTGTGTTTACAGATAAAATCTTACTTTTCATGTTGCAGTATAGTGTTTGCAAAACTGGAAAAGATTTAATCAAAATAAGGTGAAACACATGCATCAAAATATTAGTACTCTGAAGAAAAATTTTCACAGAACTACAGAATTCCTCATTTTGGGAATCATTTAAATTTGCAGCAGATTTTAAAGATTTTTTTAAAATCAAGCTAGCGTTTTTGCATATACAAATATTATAATTGCTAATATACAAGAATCTGTGAAGATACACCCAGAATATCCCTGTAGGTGCAGCCATTTGAGACACCTAGCCTGCTCAATGCATTTGCAATATTCTGTTTGTGATCGAAAAGGCAGTGCCTTATCAACATTTATTCTATTTTGTTAGAATTTATACAGTGTTATTTATTTACAGCAAAACTATTGATGTTTAAAAAAGAAACAAATAGTGTTTTATACCCTGACAGTTTGGGTCCAAGAAAAATAAGGCGAGCTGTTGTGGATTTTAGTAATTTTAGTGTCTTTTCATGGTTAAACCATTGTGTCTTCGTAGATCCTCTCTGGCCACAGGAATTTATTTCTTTTGAGATGACATCAAACTGCTTGCAGGAAGCTGTTAACAGCATGGCATCTTGTATATACACTGCATTGGTAACTGTGCACCCTCCAATCCTGTGAATGAACGTGAATTTCCATGCTCTGTAAATTGGCTCATGCTAGATTAATTTTTTTGTTTGGGTGTTTTTTCTTTTTTTTTTTGGTTTGATTTTTTTTCTTTTTGCATAAAAACCATGCGGTTAATGTGTGGAAGCAGCAAACACACGCACACTTTTATAGGTGAATGTTTAATTCCTGTTGTTTTTTCTTCCGTGAGTGTTCCTCTAGAATACTGGCAGTAAAAGCACACAGTCCTATGGAAAGAAAAGAGAGCACAAATCATTTCAGAATATCTCATTAGACTCAATGTCATGCCTTTCCCTGACTAAACAGAAAGGTTGCAATTGGTATGATGGAATTCTGCAATAGGACAAATAATACTTTCTAGGTAGGCAGTGGCATTAGTTGTACCCCCAGCATGAGGGCGCTTTCTAGGTAGGCAGTGGCATTAGTTGAACTCCCAGCATGAGGGCAAAGCGCAGCTGCAGATGTCCACGCTGCTCGTGAACTGATTCACCAATATGTTTGCATTTGCAACGTGCTGCATTTCATCACCCCAGACACAGCACCAGCTCATCAGATCCGACGATGCCAAGGAATAGGTGCTCTTATCATGGAAGAAATGCCATGATCTTCAGAATGAGAAAGCTGCTGCTTCCACAGCACGTTGTTCTTCACTGTGTGCAAGCACCCCCACAGTGATGGAAAACCTGCTCACCTTGCACATCCATCTCTGCCTGTCACTCAGGGAACGTGACCAGCAGAGCTAGGAACGGGGAGTCCAGCCTTTAGGAGGCTTGGTGAAGGACAAAGTAAGGAAGAGGACCAGCCCCGTTCATCTCCCACCTGGCTCGCATGAGCGGTGCCAAGGAGACAGGGTCCTGCTCCTGCTGCCTCGCCCAACAGAGTCATGCAGCCATGCACATAAGGACAGGGAGTTTGTTACATCTGTTGTACAACAGCGATGTCTTGCAGTAAGGAGAGCAGGAAGCAGAAATACAAAGACACCGGCGAGCGGGAGCTGGAAGACCTGCGGCTCCCCAGCACCTGGGCACAGGGCAGTCTGTTCGGGAGCGCGGCTTGCGCAGCGCCTGCGGCATTCAGGCTGGCACGGACATGCCTGTTTACTAATCAGGTCACAGGTCCACACACATTCCCCAGCAGTGCTCACGCTCTCCTTCTATGCTAAAGCAATCTGTCCTTGCCCACATCTACAGTTGTCATAAATCTGTCCTGCTGCTAACAGCCTCCTGTTCACATTGCAGTAGTCACGCCAGCTCACACAGTGCTGTCCTGCAGAACTGCACACAAAAGTTCTTGGCTTTTCCTTTCAACCTGTGTTTCACAACAGGATTATTTGCAATGGTGACAAAGATATTTTCACAGCAAAATCTAGCTAACATTGTGATTTTTTTCCAGCACTCAAAGAAACATCTCTGTCTCTCTAATGGGATTTTTTTTGTCTTTTGTGATCACAAAACAAACTGTTTTTCCATCAGAATCCCCTGCCTGTGCAAATACATCCACTTCTGCATCCAAATTAAATGTTTTCAATGGACTCTTGACTGGGCTCACAATTACTTAATGCACATTTGGTCATGCTTATCATATCAAAATTTGGAGCACAGAGATTGATCTTAGAGGGCAAAGTTCCCCTCTCAGCAAAGGTTTAGTATCTAAGGCAGACTCTCCGTGTTCCTCAGTGGCTCTAGCATCAAGAGTTGCCTACTGGAAATCACAGAAGTAAAGCATCAGCGGTCATGGGAGCAAGTCTGGTTCTGAGGAACTCAGACTCTGGCTTCCTGAAGGTCAGATTCTGTTTCATACATTAGGCAAGGACTGCCATATATATGTCATTTTATTTTAAAATGAAATGCTTCTCCCTTGTCCCCAGTGTGTGTTGCATCAAGCTTGTATGCTGGCAGGCTCTTTAGCTTCACTGCTTAGGAGGTTCAGTGCCCCATCTTGCCTTTGGTGCCTTCAAATTTACACATTCCCACTGGTTTGGGCCTGCAGATTGACAGTGGAGCAGCACAGGAGCCAACATGGGGCACAGTTTCATACAGGCAGTGCCATCCCATTGGCTTGCTTTCCTCCTGTGTATCCTCGAGCTCCATGAAGGAAAAAGATGTGTCAACAGAATCGCCTCCATTTTCAAAACATTAACTATTTTACGAGTACATGGAGCAGCAAAGCACATGAAGCTGTATTATTCTGACAG